CCCTAATTACAGTCAGGAGACAGAACACAAGTGTCAGGGGTTCAAGGCCATCTTCAACTACATAGTGAGTTCAAAGCTAGTCTAAGATATTTGAGATCAGGTTTCAAAAAAAAAAAAGTAAGGAAACGAATGAACAGTCAATAATCATGGCTAATATAGATGAATCACAATGTCCCTTTACTACAGAAGGCTATCAATCATGGAAGGTCATGTTGGAGAGGGTGCATATACATACAGGAGATAATTGTTAGAGAAAAGGAGCCTGGAGTCATAGCAGTCCAAACGGATTTCACTCGGGACTATTGTTAAAGGGGAAAGAGAACTTGACACCCAATTAGGCTCAGTCCTGAGAAAAGCGTGATTTTGTAACCTAGGAGCCAGAGTGGAGGTCAGCTGATGGAAGGAGTGTGGATTCTGGCTAAGATGCTGGGGCTTCTTCCCTTCTCCCTGACTTGGGGCTGGGGAGATAGTTCAGTGGGTAAAGTACTCACCATGCAAGTGTGAGGACCCACGTTCAAGTCCCTAGACCCAGTGTAAGCTGGGAGCAGTAGCAAGAGTCTGCAATTTGAGTGCTCCTCTAGACATGATGAGAAGCAGGACAGAGAATCCCTAGATGCTTTTGGCCTGTGGAGAAAAACAACAGAGACACCCTATCTCAAACCAGGTGGGAGGTGAGGTCCAACCCCCAAGGCTGCCCTCCGACTTCTACCTACATGCTGCGGCATAAGTGCACACACCACCCCACACAGAAAAAACGACCTCGATCCGGGCCTTTAATCCCAGTACTCAGGAGGCAGAGTCAGGTGGGTCTCTGTGAGTTCGAGGCTAGCCTGAGAGCGAGATCCAGGACAGGCACCAAAACAACACAGAGAAACCTTGTCTACGAAAAAACCAAAAAAAAAAAAAAAAAAAGAAAGAAAGAAAGAAAGAAAAAGAAAAAAAAAGGAAAGAAAAGAAAGAAAGAAAAAAAAGAAAAGAAAAGAAAATGCACTCGACTGGATTTCTTCTTGCTGAAATAGTCCAATGGTAGTTGAATATCAAAGATGCTCGAGGACTTTAATTAGCTATCAAGACTCTGGGCTTCTTTCTGAACTAACTTGGACAGATTCTTGGTGGAGATGGGCCATGCAGGTCCAGCAAGGACTGAGGCCAAGGTCAAGGTGTCCGGGGCTTATAGTATGTTGGCTGAAGGTCTATGAAGGATGAAGTCCTTGTCAAAATCTTTATGAGTTGTTTTTACAACACCAAAGCAGGACAGATATTGGTAGACACAAGGAGCTCCTGATTATGTTAAAATATTTATAGACAGACACGTATGGAATAGAAAGGAGTTTGGTTTTCTTTGTGCCTTTTCTTCCTTTTCAAAGTTTCTACAATGAACTTGTATTGTTTTTCATAACTAAAAATACATTAAGTTTATTACATATATTTGAGAGGTAGGAAATTCTTCACCCTGACTTTCTAAGGTCAGACTTATTGAAGTTTTATTGAAATTATGCATCCCTTAAAGCAACAATTAATAGTCTTTGTAGACCACTACTTGAAGAAGGGCCATTAAGCCTCACCCTGTGTGTGTGTGTGTGTGTGTGTGTTCTAAGCTTTGGCGAGAGGGATGCTGGAACCAGAAGCTACTATTAATGACTATGGCATAAACACGACCTAGTTGCCTGGTCTCAGATAGAAATAATAGGGCATCTCATTCTGTGATCCAACTTACACAGAACCCACCATTCACTCTTACAGAGGATTCCTCATCCTGAGCACAGGGAAGCTGAGTGGTTATATAGTGCACATTTATGAGGTCAGTTTGGGTAGAAACAGAGTAAACCTAGATATGACCCTCAACTGTCCCTATGAGCAGGGGCATCCCGAGAAGAATGCTATGGACCATTATTTTAGCATTTTAGGAAAGAGTTTGGAAGGACACATACCTTATAGAACCTTCAAGAGATGGTATGAATGAGTTACAACAAAATCTTAAGTGAAGTTAGTAGAGTTGGGGTGTGTCCCTAAGTTGGTGGTTATAGCAGCAATTAACAAGGCAATTCCATGTAGTTTATCTGGTAATTAAAAGAGATTCATTTCAGGGGTAACTTACAGTCTATAAGGGGTCAGTTACAGGATCCAGGAGAGATGAGGTACAATCCAGCATGCTTCTCTGGAGAACTCTGACTTGGTCTGCAATCCAGCATCCAGGATCACAAGGAGTCAAGAGAGCAAGCACGTACACATCTTGAGTCTTAAGGGGTTTTTGTCTCAGCCACGCCCCAGGGGCAGGCCATAGGCAGGTGTGGCAGTTACTTGTTGCCACACTAGGGGCAGTGCTTCAAGGCCAAAGCTGAAACAGCTACCCACGACAGGTGGTTTCCAACCTTTTTGTATTGGTAGCGTACTGCTGAAGTACTCTAGATATAACTCAAGAGTTCAAGACCGTGCTTAGTGTAAGCGTGACAGCTTGGATGGAAAGGTATCATGGCAGCTGGGAGCCAAGAAATACCACAAAGTCATACCTCACAACAAACCTCACACAAGAGATTCACCAGGAGGGAAAAACCCAGGATGGTGACTGCCTTTGCTTGGGTGAGAAACAGCAGCAAACTGAACAGGATACAAGGCTTGTATAGAGTTTCTTGGGAAGGGGGTAGAACTTTAGAGGGTGGAGTTTTCCAGGGTGGGAATTGGTCAGACTTCAATCCCTGAGATTGGGCTTTTTACTCTGTAGGATGTGAACAGGGTCCAGCGGTTAGGGCAGTTAGAGTATTCTGTGGGTGGAACCTGGCAGTTAGAAGACCTTGCGGGAGAGGCCTGGCCCCTGTGTGGCTTAAGGGGCTTACACCTAATGTCTCAGGATCCTTAGAGTTCAGGATCTTGATAAGGCACTTTACCTTATGGTCTAGCACCGTGGTTCTCAACTTGTGGGTCATGACCCTTTGGGGGTTCAAATGACCCTTCCAAAGGGGTCACCCTAAGACCATTGGAAAGCACAGATATTTACATTACATTTCAGAACAGCAGCAAAATTACAGTTATGATGTGGCAAGGAAAGTAACTTTATACTTGGGGGGTCACCACAACATGAGGAACTGTATTAAAGGGTCACAGCATTAGGAAGGTGGAGAACCACTGGTCCACTAGTTATGAAAGCATTCACTTATCCCATGATTCACTGGAGTACTTTTCAGTGTTCTGATCCTGATGAGCAGAACTATTAGTTACTCTGAACTCCAGGGCAGACTCCCATGGTCCGCTGAACATGTCCTCTTTGGAACTCACCTCTGCCCTCTTACCTATGTTGTGAAGACTCCATTCCAAGCCGAGTTACATAACGCAACCACTCATAGAGTCACAGGACTATCTCTGCTCTGTTTAGTTGCAACAGAATTCTAGAACACTCTTTAGATTGAAGACTGGCTTGTGAAGCATGTGGGGGGGGGACATTGGTTGGGAGGGGGTCTCCAGCTTGCACCAGTAGTGAGCCTGGCAGTCCTTGGCAGTGTCTGCTCATGGAACACCTAACACAGGGCTGCAGGGTGGCATGACACCTTTTATGTTTCTGTACAACTAACATTTGTGAAATGATTGAGGTGTTCATGGTGGTCTCATGGTCAGTGGGTATTTGCTTTGCTTCTGTTTCTGGAACTCTCTGGGTAATTGACAAGTCATCCACTCTTCTTTTCAAGCTCCATTATAAAATGAAAAAGCAGCTAGGTGAGGAATGCTTTGGGTTATCACCATCATCCCTGTAGTGCCTCCTGGAACAGTCTGAGAAGTTTTTTACAGAGATACCTAGTAAAATTAGTTTTCTCCAATGGAAATATGGGTATATTAACCACACAATAGGGTAGGCCCAATGCCCAGGAGTAGCTGGCCAATACAAAATGAGCTGAATGATATTTTTGGTTTCTGTTTTTGTGGGTATTCTTTTTTTTTTTTTTAAAAAAAATATTTATTTGTTTATTATGTATACAGTATTCTGTCTGCATGTTTGCTTACAGGCCAGAAGAGGGCGCTGACTTGAATTATGCATGGTTGTGAGCCACCATGTGGTTGCTGGGAACTGAACTCAGAACCTCTGGAAGAGCAGACAGTGCTCTTAACCGCTGAGCCATGTGGGTATTCTTTATGTGTGTTTCTTGTTTTTATCTTTTGTTTCTTTTGTCGAGGGAGAGAGGGAGAGAGAGAGAGAGAGAGAGAGAGAGAGAGAGAGAGAGAGAGAGAGAGAGAGAGAAGAGAGAGAAGAGAGAGCGTAAGCCGGAATGAGCAAGAATAGAGTTGGGTGTGTGGGAATGTGGGGCGGTCTGAGGAGAGTTGGGAGAGGGAAAAAAGCAGGATCAGAACATGCATGGTGTTAGTAATTTTCCACCAAGCCACGTCCCGTCCCCCATGGCCCAACCCGCCAAGGTCTCTTCCGTGCTGTTTTAAGACAGAAACCTCTCTACCCTCAATTTCTTCCTATCGTCTTGTCTTTCTATCCTACTTCAAAATAAGGGAGACTTAGCTTGTAGAGACCATTATTTAGAAGAATCCTGTGATTTAGAAAACTTTGCAATCATGGTTTCATACCAAAGCCTAACTTGAGGTAAGATCATGGATGGAATAAAAAAAAAAAAGAAATGTGTGTGTGCTCATGCACCTTCGTGTACATGGGGCGAGAGTGTTTCATGTGCTTGTGCTTGCACATTGATTAGACAATATGTTGCTGTGATTGCTCTCACAGATCGGCTCTCAAGGCTGTGGTCTTCACCGGGTTAGGACAGTCCGTGTGGAGGAGAATGAGTCTGATGTGAGCGCTGAAAACATTCCCCGGGGGGACTCTGGTTCACTCCTCTGAGATAACTGCTGTTTCTCCTCTGCTTCCTCATGAAAGCATCTTCTTGATCACTTCTCCGGATTGCCTTCACCCACACCCAAGGCTTGGCCCTCTCTAGGCTCCTGGTCAGAGGGGTAAACATGCCAACTCACTGATATGCTAATGAGACACCACTTGTCTGAATCCACAGCGCAAAGACTGGCCCCAAGAGAGACAGGCCACCCCGATTCCTGTGACTTAGAGCCTCGGTGGATGCACCTGCTTTAAATCTGTGGACTCCATCTCCTGAATGCACGAGGCTCGCTGGACTTGGACTCCCTGATGATGAAGGTGCCACGTGGGGAAGGGGCATATCAAAAGCAGCGTTGAGAAGAGTTTTAAAAGGTGCCTCATTAAATATGCAATTTTTTATAGGATCTGGGTACTGGCTCATGGACGTTTATCCCAGAGAAAGGAAGACTCGGTTGGACACCAATGCAAATGTTGATAGGATCCTAAACCTAAAAGCAACCCAGAAGTCCTTCACCAGGTGAATGGCTAACCTGACTGCCATCCCTTCACACAATAGAGTAATATTACTAGGCTCTCAAAAGGATAAGCTGCTGGCACAGGTAGGCAGTTGGGCTAACCTCCAGCAAACTATGCTGAACGGGTGGCACTCCTTTAAGACGGGACTTCAAGATCAAACCGAGGGCCTCGGTGCCTGCCAGGCAAGCAACTCTGCCACTGAGCTACATGGAGTCCCAGCCCTGAAAATGAGCAGTCTCAAAAGGTCACGTGTGAGTCCATTTATAATCACAAAATAGATATCAACTCATAGAAACAGAGACTAGGGATGAGGAGTGGGAGGACAGTGAACGTAGCTTCACGAGGGCCTGGGAGGGACCGGATGCTGGAAATAGTCCGCATCACAATAAATAGCAATAACCCGGCTATGACAGAGTGCTACATAGTTTCAAAAGACCTTCTCCCTGGGAGGATAAAAGCACAGGAAAATTTGTATAGTATTTGTTACCACCTCGTGTAAATCTACAATTTTCTCTAAATACAAACTGCAATTAGCTCTGTAGATCTTGGTCCTTACAGAGCCAGTCCTGGTCCTGAAGCAATGGTTCTGTACCATACAGGTTCAAGTTGGTATAAGATCTTCTTTGACTTAACATTGTGTGGTCTTGGAAACAGGCCCCTTCTCCGGGTTTGAATGCAAGCAATGGATTTACTTCCTCCAAGGCCCTGGAGGCCTTCTCTTGTTTTGTTTTGTCTGAGGAAGGGGTTCTAACTCAGAGAGTGGAGGATGACTTTGGACTTCTTCTGGTTCCTCTGCCCAACCTCTTGAATGCTGGGATGACAGGCATGAGGTACTAGGGGTTAAACCCAGGGTCTCCGGGGTGTGAGGCCAGCATGCTACCAACGCAGCTACATCCTAAGCCTTGCTGAAGTTATTTTTAGCATAGTAACATCAAGCCGATGGCTCTCCACAGAGGCTTTCCTCAACAGAGAGCACATCTCTGTAAGACTCCATGGGCTATCCTTTTTTTGTGCGGTCTCACATCCCGTCTTCCTTCCCAGGAGTCCCAATCCCTGCCTGGCAGAAGGCAGCCAAGGCCTGAGAGATGCTGAGTCCAGGAAGCCAGAGAAGGGTGACTGAAGGGTGCGGCTGTCTTTCTCCCCACCCCCCATTCCCTCCCCTCCCACAGCCACGTGCAGCCTGGGGTGGGAGGCGAGGTCAGGGCCGGAGGAGGGGCGGAACACTTAGGTCAGCAGCACCAAGCCCAGTCCTGCCTGGCTCCGGGGTTGGCTTTGCTCAGGCCAGAGCTGTCAACTCTGCCCTTTAAGAAATGAGCAACAAAAAGGGAATTAGGGAAGAGAAGGGAGGTGGGAGGGCACACAGACAGGGTGGGCGTGCAGGGCGGGGGCGGGGTAGGGGGGTGGGGGCCAGAGCTGAGGAACAGGTGGGGACCACTTAAACAGAAGGCCTGACTCAGCCCTTTCCTTTCATGGACTTTCTAAAGCACTGTTTGTTTAAGCTCGGCGGGAGGGTGGGGGTGAGGCTGGGAGGGGAAGAGAGCAGGCCCTGGGCTATAGGGAGGAGAGCAGGCATCCACAGGACTCCAGACACCCCTCTTTCTGGGGACACAGTGAGGGCCCTCCATAGACTCTGAGTTCTGGTTTCTTAGCTGGACTTCCATCTAGGAAACATTGGGATTGTAAAGGCTGGAGACCTTGGGACTCAGAAGTGTCCGTGAGTTATATATGACATCTCTACTCCCCTCCGTGAAATAATGACGTATTATTCCAGAAAATGTGCAGATGAAAAGAAAAGAGTGATAACGGCCTGGGGGAGAAGGAGGGTGAATGCCCATGCCTCCTGGATTTGTTATTATAACGCACTTTGATCTTTGCAGAATTGAGTTTCTAGTTCCCCAGTTACCATCACAGACTGTGCAGAGCTTGCAACTGTCTCTTGGCAAACCAGGAAAAGCCTCTGAATGGTCTCCCCACCCCCACTTGTATGTGGTGTTGGGAGCTCTCAAAAAATCCCACCAGATAGAGCCACGGGGGTTGTCGGTGTGCAGGGCAGGGCAGGACTCTCCTGGGGAGGGGTGGAGAGGTTTTCCGTTTGTCTAAGTAATTGTAATGAAAGCGGATGGTTTCAAAATGTTTAACGTACTGGGCCCCAGTCCATATCTATCAATGAAGCAGGTAGAGGATTTGATCTCTTTCTCCCCAGGGAGTCAGGCTCCACCTGAACTCAAGTTTAGAACAGTTTTGGTCCAGAAGGCAGAGCTGTGCTTAAAGCAGTGAGGAGGCATGGGTTTGCAAGCTTCCTCCATCTTAGTGCAGCCTGCTAGACTGTCTCGGGCTTGCTGCTTAGCAGGTTGGTGGACAAGTCTCCGATCTGTGTTGGCCTTCTCCTCCAGCTCTTCCCCTCTCCCTAACTGCTGCCTTTCCAATCCCCCTGCTGCCTAAAGGGAGCTCAGCCAGCCTCTGCCTGAGCTCGTCTGGGGTCAGGGGTCAGGGTATCTTGCATTCCCACACAGAACCCAGCACAGAGGCAGGTGTAGCTGCTTATTAATAGATGTCTTTTGACTTTGATGTATGGAAGGGGAGCGGAGGGCCGGAGCCGACCAGCAATATTTTACCTGGTTGCTTTGCTGAATGTCAAGACTAGGGTCAAAAGACAAAGTGCCTGTGATTTTCCATATTTGACTAGACTTGTAACCCATGCAGAGAAAGAAATGTTCTCGCTCGAGGGTGTAACGAAATTAACACCTATTCTAATCACTCTACCTTAGCAAGAGCCACAGGGCACAGCGGCCACTAAATCAGTCCTCTGGTGACTCGGGCAAGTGGCTTCTCTCTTCTGTTATTAAAGATGGACAAGCTGGGTGAGATGGCAGGTTCCTCTCTGTTTTTTTCCTCACCACTGAGCTACCGATGATCCAATTGTTACTTTATTTTATGAGATCTATGTTGTGGGATATTTGTGATCAGAGTCTTTAAGGATCGTGTTTTGTATTCCAAAGCTTTAAAGTCAGAAACTTTGGTCTGGAGATATAGATCAGTAAGTGATAGATCACTTGCCCAGCATGTGGGGGGGGGGCCCTACATTCAACCACCAGTGACACACACAAGCACACGCTCTTGAACGCATGCACATACCTTAGTGTACATTAACATACACGATAACCAGTGCTTAACCTATAGAGTTTAATTCCAAGAAGAAAACAACTATATTATAACAACTGCTAAGTGCTACTTCCTCTTTGAAACTACTGCATACACAGTCTTTTTCACCCTTACCAAACCTCTACATACTATATTGTCAGATATAGACAGCTGTGGTCCATTTTCAATATGAGGTGTGATTAGAGTTCGTCAGAGTGACTGGAGGGGCCTAGCTGGCTGCTGGGGCCTGCTTATCTCAGACTTCAAGAGCTAGAAAGTTTCAGGGCGTCTGTTACTTAGCTGAGCCCAAGATGGGAAAGGGATTTGAGGGTTAAAAAACAAACAAACAAACAAACAAACAAACAAACCAAAAACCCACTGTCATGGCTGAGCATGGTGGCACATGCCTTTTATCCTAGCACTTGGAAGGCAAGAGGCAAGTGGATGTCTGTGGTTTCAGGACTAACCCAGGCTGCCTAAGTTTCAGGACAGCCAGGAATACACACAGTGGGACCCTGTCTCAAAAAACCAAACCAAACCAAACCAAACCAAACCAAACCAAACCAAACCTACTACCGTGTTCTGTCAAACAGACCAGTTTTGTTTTTTTTTGGCTTTTCTCTATGCCTGCATCCCCCACCCCTTTTTTTTTTTTCATATCAAAAACTGGTTTGTTTCCATCAGCCTTCTGCATTTGTTATTGACTTTCCCCAACATGGATTACCATCTCGAACATTATGCTATTTGATTGATTAGTTAACTACACTGGGAGTCAGGAAAGCTGATGGCAGAGTTGGGATTTGAGCCCAGCTCTGGCTCCTTCCAGACCCTCATCCCTTGTTACTCGGTGATGCTTCCTGGACACAAAAGTGTCCTACTGCTTTTGGTTTGTTGGCTTGCTTTTGGTCTGTCCTCTCCTGTGCCTTCTGACATCTAAGGATGGACCTCTACAATCAGGCTGTTCTGACAGGAAGATAACATGCCCAAAGATGGAGACAGAATAGATACAATTTTATCTCATTAAAATTAAAAATACTTATGCTTTAAAGCAAGGCTTCTTCAATTTTTTTTTTCCACTTACAACCCCCTTTAGGTCAAGAAATGCCTATAATGTGGGCAATACAGAAACGGGGTTGTTTTTGTGCCCTGGTTCTGTTGATCCCCTCCAGTTGTCCTGCAGGCTTCCAGAGGAAGAGCTATGGCTCTGAGGTGACTGGCCGGTTTCCTCAGGGTCCAGAAGTGCCGGTGGTCACTGTTTGCTTATTTCACTCAGTGCAGTTAGTGTGAGGAAGCACCTTCTCTCCAGTCCGTTCTGCCCAGCGCAGGTACAGCTTAGTGTCTTATTAATTAATTGTGATTATTTTATTTATTTAATAACAATTAGTAATTCATCTTCATAATTAATTATTCGTCTGCCTGCCAATTCCCTCCTGAAGTAGAAACGCAGCTGCATCACAAATGTTGTTTGTATTTCTTCCCTCATACTTTTTTTTTTTGCTTTTCTTTTGTTGCTGAGCAGCGTGTAGCTAGAGTTTCCTGCTTTGCCCACAGTCAGGACAAATCTTTGTCACCCGCCAGTCCCACAGCCGCTCAGACCCAACCAAGTAAACACAGAGACTTATACTGCTAACAAACTGTATGGCCGTGGCAGGCTTCTTGCTAACTGTTCTTATAGCTTAAATTAATCCATTTCCATAGATGTATACCTTGCCACATGGCTTGTGGCTTACCAGCGTCTTCACATGCTGCTTGTCATGGCGGTGGTTGGTAGTGTCTCTCTGCCTCAGCCTTCTGCTTCCCAGAATTCTTCTCTCTCCTTGTCCCACCTACTTCCTGCCTGGCCACTGGCTAATCAGTGTTTTATTTATTGACCAATCAGAGCAATTTGACATACAGACCATCCCACAGCAGCGGTGGATCCAAGTGTTAGCTTCTGTCTGTCAGGTGCTTTATTACGGTCAGTAGCCAGAGAGTGCACGTGAAGATGGAGTCACATTAACTACCGTGGATTCAAAACTGAGCTGCAATGCGTAAATTAGCTTACTGCACAGGGTGGCTGGGGCGGGGGTCGGGGATGCTGAGCCTGAGATGGGTGCTGTCTTTCCTGCCTTTCCTGGGAGTTAAAGCAGGTTATTGAACCAGCAAGAGGCTGATGCATTCACCCAATGGAGGGAATCAACAGCTCACCTTGTTCCCAGGAGACAGCTCTGGGAGACATAGGCTCTGGAACTCATGGTCCATGGAGGGTGCTTCACTAGGGCCATGCTTTGTACCCCCAGTGCTTGTCTCGGTGATGGAGGGCACCATGGCAGAGCACTGTTTCTCCCAGTTGAGAAGCAATGTCTGAGACGTCTCTCTGCACCGGGGCTGCTCTGTGTTTAGTTCTCTTTCTGACCACTAGCATCACTTACGCTATCTCTGTCCTTCCCTTTCCCTCTTTACAAACAGCTTGATGGGCCAGGCAGCAGTGTGCACACCTTTAATCCCAGCACTCGGGAGGCAGAGGCAGGTGGATCTCTTAGTTTGAGGCCCGTGTCACCACTGCCTGGTTCTGGTTCTCTCATGTAGCCCAGTGTGGTCTTGAATTCACAGAGATCCAGACGGATCTCTGCCTCCCGAGTGATAGGACTAAAGGTGTGTGCCACCACTGCCTGACTTCTATGTCTAATCTAGTGGCTGGCACTGTCCTCTGATCCTCAGGTAAGCTTTATTGGGGTACACAATATATGACCACAAAACTGTCGTCTTATCCATCCATCCATCCATCCATCCATCCATCCATCCATCCATCCATCCATCCACCCACCCATCTATGCATCCATCTATCCACTTACAACACTTACCAATCCATCAGTCTATCCATCCACTCACCAATATATCCATCCATCCTTTATGTAAGCATGAGTGTATTCATCCATCCATTCACCATTCATCAATCTGTCATCCATCCATTTATCTACCCACCCATCATCTATTCATCTATCATCTATTCATCTACCATCCACTGAAACATCC